TGATTGAGTCTTGATAGAGCTTTGCTTAGGGTTTATGTTGTGTTTGTTTGATAATCTTGATGATCTTGATGTTGTGATGAATTATATATGTGACCTTGCGTTTGAGCATGTCTAGAGCTTGTCGCTAGGGCTTATTTGGTGGGATCTTGGTGATCTTGTGATTCTTGTCGTTCTTGCATGATTGGGAATTGATTCTTGAATCTTGATATGTTAGGAGCATATATTTAGGATTCTTTTGTGCTGATTTCTTTGTTTAATTCTTGTGATTCAAGTCCTTGTCGTTGTGGTTGTGTATTGGGATGTGTTTGGACTCGGTTTTGGGTTTAACGGATGAATTCCCGAAAGGGGAAAAGGCTGGAGTACCATTGTACCAGCGGGGGGTCGGTTGGGGGGGGGGGGGAATCCCCACCTGACCACCCGCAAGTACACGTATATGTACTAGCGGGCAACTAGTGGGTGGCTGACCACCCGCTGGTACATAGCCTGTAACACCCCGTGTTACGACCTTTAATCCTGGATTAATTATTTAATTAATTCCGTAATAATAATTAAAAATGATTTAATTTAGTTAGGATTCCATTTAATTAATTAATATGGTCCACCATGGATCGTGGACTCGAGTCTTAAGCCTATTAGGAATAAAGAGAGTAGACCTTTCATCAGTCAGATTCTAATTAGGAATCCTAGATCTATAAACCTGTTAGGAATAGAACATAGGTCTTTACTATTCAGACTCTGATTAGGATTCCTAACTCTATAAATAGGGGATTAGAAAGCAATTAGAACCCTTATCACCCATAGTTGTATTACACGAGATTATTCCAAGGAGATTCTCCACCACCGAGCCTAGGGAGCTCGATCGGAGGGAAATCTTAGAGAAGAACCTTAATAGCCAAGTGATGAGGAAGTTTTTCAAGCATCCATCAAGTATCAAATCACAGTATAGTGTTTAGATATCGTTCCACTGGAGATGACTCTTGTAATGTTAGGAATTGATGCAAAACGGAGTAAGCACAAGCTAAAACTATCCCTATCCTTATAGAAGCTAGACAAATCCTTAATGAGTTGGTTTGATATGATTAGGCTAATAACAAATACGACAAGTAAAACAAAGGACCGGAATTTGGTTGATTCAAGCTAAGATGCCAAATAGTAAACTAAGATTAGGGAATTAAACAAGGCATGCATAGGGTAAGTGAGATGCACAAAAGTGTCCAAATACCACTCTCGTAGTTATTTGGACTCGCAACCTCACATTAAACTCCACTCTCGTGGTAATTCAACCCAAGGATGCCCAAACAAGAACACAAGGCAAAAATTCTCCTTAACACCCGAAATACTCTCGTATTGGGCATTAAGTGTGTGAATGTGTGGCTAGTGTACAAGTTCTACTCTCGTAGTAACAAACACACTCCAAATGAAGCATATAATTGGGATCCAACAATCATACACAAATTTCTCAACAAACCCATTTCACACAACAACCCTATATCACCCAAATAATCCCCGTTATGCAATACAACTCAAATAGGCATCAATAGCAAGAAATCAAACCAAATCCAAGTCCTAAAACACTTAGCTACTCATAATCTAACAATAGATACACAATATTGAAAGAGTAATTGAAAGCATAGATGAAAAATAAAGAGAAGAGATAATAAGAAAACTTCTCTATTGAAGCTTTGAAATCCAAGATTGCAATGTGTTATTGAGCTTGTAGATGGAAAGGAACAAGAAATGTACACTAATCTAAGCTATACTAGAGCTAAACCTAACTAAGGAATGAAAGGGAAATGAAAGATAAGTTTTGGGGTGGAAAAATCCCCTTAAAAGGGGTCAAAACGCGCTGAAATGAGTTGCAGAGGGCTGGCCACGGGCGTGGCTTCACCCGTGGCCAGAAATGCAGATCACACTGCCCAGTGGCCACTAGTGTGGCCGTGGCCACCAGGCAGTGATCTGCCTGTGCACTGCGACTGTCTTCTAGGTACTTTTTCACCCTCTAAACGTTTGAATTAGCCTTTGGTGCTTGAATCAAAGTTGTATCCTTTCAGGTTATCTTTCAAATGATATAAAATTCACTTGATTTGGACATTCCTAAGCAGAGATATGATCAAAAAAACGAACAGTGGATGATTTGTGCGGGAATTTTAACTTCTTGCTCTTTTGCTCCACTTTTGCCTTTATTTGTCCAAATGACCAAGACCAATAAACACACCATAATTTGGCTCTCTAAAAGGTGTTTCCCCCATCTTCATAGCTTCTCATTGACTCCAATTGGCTCTACAAGCATCCGAAATGCCCCACAAATCTCTCAATTCATCTAAATCATCAAGAATTACCCATAAGCACACAAATGAATCAAATGAGGACACTTTGGGCAAAATTATAACAAATAACAAGGAAAATAAGCTTAAATTCAAGGTGAAATTATAAACTTTTAGACTCTTATCACCAAGGGGGGATTAATTAAGGCTAAGAGGTAACCCATGTCTTAGAAAACCTATTTTCAATTCCTTGCTATATCTTAATTATTGGCTCCTTTGATATGTGATTCTGTGATTGAGTCTTGATAGAGCTTTGCCTAGGATTTATATTGTGTTTATTTGATAATCTCGGTGATCTTGGTAATTTGTGATTGATTATATGTGTGATCTTGTATTTTATTTATGCCTAGAGCTTGTCCCTAGGGTTTATATTGTGAATCTCGTTGTTTTGATGTTCTTGGTATGTTTGTTTGGGTGGGTTTATGCATGATCGGGTGTTGAGTCTAGCCTAGGACTTTGCATATAGATTTCTTGATGTTCTTGTGGTTCCGATGCTCCCGAACCGTTATATGATTAACGTTGAGTCTTGGCATGTTTAGGAATTGTGTTTGAACATATTTGGTATGATTCTTGATTTAATTTTGTTAATTGAATCTATGGTGTTGTCGTTATGTGTTTGGACATGGTTTCGGGTTCCACGAGTGATCCCGGGATCGAAAAGTTACCATGTACCAGTGGGAGTAGGTGGGGGGATGACCGCCCACCACCTACCCGCTGCCCGGCGAGCCCAATCCAGTGGGCAGCTAGCGGGCGGAGGCCTTCTCGCCGGCCACCCGCTGGAATGGTGGCTACCTGTCGTCGGGTGGTCATCCACCCGCCACCTACTTGTTGGAAGGTGGGTACGGGGCGTGGTGCTTTCCCCTGTTTGTTGTTTCCCCGTGTCCCATTGTGTCCCATTGTACCCCGTTTGATGTTTTGAATACCGTTCTAGGAATTTATGTGTAATACATGTCGTTGTTGTTATGTCTTGATTGTTATTGATTGATACCACATCAGGTGGACTTTTTCAAAACCCACTCCCACCCCCATCGGGTGCGGGTGCCCACTACGGGTACCTACCACTTATCATCTTATTATCTTTTTCAAAAAATAATATTTAAATTACTTATACATAATAAAATAATAAAATTCATTTCTGATACTGAAACATAAAATAATAGAAATATTTAAATATAATAACTAAATTGTTAATTTTTAAAAATAAACTTAGTAGTTTAGATGTAAAAAATAGTAAAAAAATACACGAAGTTATATAAACTTTTATAAATAACTACATAGTAGTACTTATTTTACTATTATATATATACACACACATGGTGGGTCGGATGGGGTTCTATGGAAGTTTTGTACATAGAACCCGAATCCAACCCGACCCACCGCGAGTTTACTTTTTTAAGACCCACCACCCACCATCACCCAAAAAACCCGATCCATGCGGGGTGGATTCGGGTGGATATATAGCCACGAGGCGGATTGAAATTGACATCCCTATTTGGGCCTATATAAGGGTCATTGACCCACTAGTTTAGGGGTTCATCCCATCTCCTCCACTCTCTCATTCTCTCTAAAGCATATAGAACTCCCCCTCCTCTCTACAAGATTGCAAGAACATAGAGCCCTTTGAACTACTTTCTCTTGTCTACTCTCTATGTTGTACATGCAGTTTACATACACATTACATACATGCAGTATATATATCAATACACGGGTCAATACCCCGCACCACTAACAATTTTGTTATTGAATTGTGGGGTCTTATACAGGGTGGAATACGACAATCGATCACGCCTTATCCCCTTTAATGACAGACTATAAATAGTTGCTCATAAATATATCTCGTGTTTTAAGGTAGAGAAATAAACGTATATGGACAAGGTGTGACGAGTTAAAAACCAGGGCACGAGATATATATAACATCCACCGGATTGCTTAAAATATTTTATATGGGCTAATGTGTGTGGTCTCATGATTTGGCTTACTTAGTACCTGCCTGAGGTTTTCTCCGATATACAAAAAAAAAGGCTATCACAAACTACTATGCTATATTAAATATAATAGTTAAAATTGTATTTGATTCACCTTTGTATTCTACTGTATTGAAACATTATAGTCTTACCAAAATTACATAAAGCACAAAGGTATAAAGTTTTGGCAAGGTTTATGCGTTGTGAAAATAAGACATACCATCTCTTACTTTTGTTTTATTAAAAGTTGAACAAGTGCTTAAAACAAGACATTTTTTGTTAATTCTCGTTTTATCAACTTATAGTCTTAACGTAATTAATATGGTGTGAATGTTTGAAGGGAGGCATGGTAATGGAGAAAAATTGTTTTGCATAAATGGGCAATAACAACAAATTGGGGTAGTGATTAAAACAAAAAGAGTAATTAAAGAAAATCAGTTTTGTGAAAATGATTTTCAACTTTTTTTTTTACTCTTATTGGCTTCCTTGGGCATGGACTAAAATACGATTTTGGCCCACCAATAGTATACTCAAAATAGGAGGAGGTTTTCAGTCTCTCTCATTATACAGTGAAAAAACAATCCGTAAACAATAAAGATAGATATAGAATTCCGGCCTGTTAGATATTCTTGAAGCTAGCTAGTGATACTTTAAGCATATATATATATCTTAATTATTTCATTTCATTCTATATATTGTTCGATCACTGAAGTGAAAAACAAGCCATTGCATCACCTAGACAGTAAGTCGAGATGAGAGATATGTTTGGTGGCTTAGGAAAGATGAGTGGTCTCTACCTTAGAATATTGCAATGTATGTTTGCAGCTGCTTCTGTTGGAGTAATGACTTCAGCTTCACGTTTCACAAGATGGACCAGTTTTTGGTATGCCCGCATTTTATTCATCCTTTACCATTATCTAATCATCAGGGCCGGATTTTAGGTTTGTGTGGCCCTGTTCTGGTAAATAACTGAGGCCCTCCAAAATCTAAATTTTTAAAAGTAAGATATGGGAGTTTCGAACTTTTGACCTCCAAGTTAAAATATAATATATACACATTTATACCATCTCTTCATAAAACCTTTTTAAATTTATTGTAAACTTTTAATTTTTATTTCTAAACTACCTAGGTAAATATTAAATATTGGACCTCTAAAATTTGGGGCCCCTCTAAAATTGGGGGCCCTGTGCGGTAGCCCAGCTTGCACAGCCTAAAATCCGGCCCTGCTAATCATTATTGTGGATGTCTCACATTGATCAAGTTTATTGTTTTGTTTTGCTCATTTTATTATATGTCTCCTTTTGAATAGGTGTTATTAGTCTATTTCCTGCGATTAGTTCTGATGTATCTTTGGTATTTAGTTGTTATTCTCTTTTATAAATAGTGTTCATTATTTTGTTAATAAACACAACATATTACTTCTCTATATTGCTATATTTAAATAATAAAATATATAGTTTCTATTCAAACCTATATATTGTGGTACTTTAATTTGAGAAACAAATTCAATTGAGTCGCTTTTGGTGAATTAAGTTAATTAATGCCTTACTGCATATATATATGGTTGCTTTGATCATTAGTTCTTAGCTTGTTATGTTGATCTATATCACTCAGCTGATCTCATATATTTATTATGCATATGCTATTTTGGTGAATGTCTCGGGGCTCGATCAGGTGCTTGGCACTTGTGATGGGGGTTCTAACTTTCTGGAGTTTAACCCTTTGCTGCCTGAATCTTCATATCTTAATGCGGAAAAGGAACGTGCATTCTCTTTTCCTTCTGATCGTAATTTGTATTGGTGATTGGGTAATTCAATTCAATTCCCTTATTTCCTTTATGCATGCTCACACGCACACACACTACATGTTTGATTCATGAATTTTGAAGCTTATTTATATAATATACTGCAGGTGATGACTATTCTATCTCTTGGTGTTGCATGCGCATCTGCTGCTGCGGTGGATTTTCTATCCAAGTTTGCTATTTGCTCAGGGCGGTTCCTGCCATGCAACATGTATGGCCTTTCAATTGCACTAGCATTTGTCGCTTGCTTCTTTATAGCGATTTCTGCTAGTGTTATGTTTAGGCTTGTAGCCTCGTTTTATTAGTTATATGCTAAGCTGCCAGGGACAATCTATGCTTTATATTGTGAATATAGTACTAATAAGCAATTGAAGTTTTTCATTTCTCATTTTCGATTATGTTAGCGTTTGTGGCCAGTTTCATTTGCTTAGCTTCTAGAGTTTGGATTTAATTATTTTTATTTGAGTTTATCTTTATCTTTATCTTTGTTATTTGTTTCTAGTATTTTAAATGGTTGTTAAATTATTTTCAAGTTATTAAATTGCATTGTATTAGATCTTGCGCGCGGATTCGACTCTTGCTTTACACGCTAAACTACAATTGACTCGTGCACTTACAATAACATATTAAAATTGTCTATCATATATTCATAGGAATAAGGTTCAAATTGGCCACTGAACGTAACCTGAAAATGCAATTAGACCACTGAACGAAAAAAAAGTGCAATTAGGCCATTGAACACTCAAAAATGTGCAATTAGGCCACTGAACTCTCCAAACGTATGCAATTTTACCGGATAGCAGGTTACCATCAATTTTAGCAGGTTACCTGCTTACGTGGCAGCTTAGTTGGCATTTTTAATAATTTTTAAATAATTTTTAATAATTAATTTTAATAATAAATTTTATAAAAAATTGGAAAAAATTAAATAAAAAATAAAATAAAGTCATTTTTATTTTTTTAAAAAAAATTTTAATAAAAATTTATTATTAAAATTTATTAAAAATTTATTAAAAATGCCAACTCAGCTGGCACGTAAGCAGATAACCTGCTAAAATTGAGAGTAACCTGCTATCAGGTGAAATTGCACATTTTTGGAGTGTTCAATGGCCTAATTGCACTTTTTTTTCGTTCAGTGACCTAATTGCACTTTCAGGTTACGTTCAGTGGCCAATTTGAACCTTATTCCTATATTCATATAATAACCATGATATACTTGCTTCTGTATACATATTGTCTAGCTTATGTTGCAATATGAACCACATTTCACATGTATATATAAGTTCATAGTATAGCTTCTATAGCAATATAGACCACACTTCACATATAAACATGTATCCTAGCTTATGTAGCAATATGGACCATAGTTCACATATATACATATTTTCTAGGTTATGTAGCAATTCAATATGGATCACCTGTATACATAGCTATATAAGTATATAATCATATAAAAAATCCCTACCAAAAAAAAAAAATAATCATATAAAAAATGTACTTTTGAAAAATAAAATAGCTATATATTATATAATATAATCATATAAAAAATGTGTTCAATTAGAGTTTAAATTTACTCATACAAAATTTGAAATTTGCTTTCCAAATGTAATTATCTTAGTTATTATTCGTATTGTGAAAATTATAATATAGATGAAATACAATTAAGAATAAATCAATGTAATTATGTAAATTCTCTCTATAAGTTTATTTGAATATGCACATAATTAGAGATTATATTAACTATACAAAATTTTAATTTTAATTTTAATTGTAATTTTGTATTCTATTAAAATAATAAATACTTGACCAATGAAAGCTCAAAAATATTATTATATTAAAAAATGTAAAATATTTTAGTTTTTTATTTTTTATTTATATTTATAATAACATAATATTTTTTCTCGTGTATCGTGCGGGTGAATTACTAGTATAATATACGGAGTGATGTCAACGGCAATTTATAGATGGTAAATGCTTTGCTTTCCTCCTAAATTTTCCCTCCATGATTTTACCTTTTGTTGTGGATTCCATTCATGGCAAATTATACATTGCACCATGGTGCACATTGCATTGTGCACCCTAAAGTTTGTGTATTATGTTAAAAGTTTATATGTCTTATGTTGAGAGTTCATGTGTATTATATTAAAAGTTTATGTGTATTATGTTTAGAGTTTATGTGTATTATGTATTATGATAGATTATGTGTATTATGTTAAAAGTTTGTGTATTCTATTATACAATTATGTACATACGAAACAGGAAATTTTTAGGGCGCACAATGCGGTGCACGATATACCAATCGTCCATTCATTCGGTGCCCCTGAATTAGTAACCACACCCGCATGGGAAGCTCAACTGATCATTGGGGTAGAGTTTGGAAAGAATTATTAAGGATCGAGTCTCACCAGCGACAGTGTGTGAGCAATCTCTGAAAGTGAGGGAGACTTTTTGTGCACAGTAAGCAAAGTCCTCCCAAATACTCTATCGAAGATTCAACCTTTTTGAAAAAAAATGAATTAATAACCACCACTAATCATGTCATGGGAAATGAATTCAAAGGAAAAAGTATGATGGTATCTAGCACTACTCTTTATATATTTAACGAACTCTGAAATTTGGGTAGTGGATAATAATAAAGATTAAAGAATGAAATTGCGGCACTAATGGTCCAAATTTTTGGCATTTATTCACTACGTGTTAAAATTTATAAGAGTCATTTGACTTCAAATTCTATTCAATTACCTAAGGGTGTCAACAATTGTTATACAGTGGAGCAATGTCCACACAACATTGTGCAACTGTGTGGATCATAATCATCAAATAAAATTGTAGTAGAATTAAAATAATATTTTAATATTATTATAATAAAACTAGAGTGTATGAAAAATAAAATTAAAAATGGAGCTCATTCGATAACGTAAAGTGTCAAATGAAACTATAGCATAATTAAAATGATACTTTAGTCTTACTATAATGAAACTTGTGTGTAGAAAATGAAACTAAAATTCAAAGTTTTACAATAACATATATTGTCAAATGAACCTGAAGTGTAATTAGAATAATACTTCAACATTATTATAATTAAACTAGTGTGTATGAACAGATACTACAATGTAATAGAGCCAGTAACTTTCAAAAAAAAAAAAAAACTAATGTGTGCAGTCGTAAATGAAACAAAAAATAGATCAGAGCTCATGTAATAATGTATATTGTAATATTGTTAAATGAAACCGTAGTAAAATTAAAATAATATTTTGTATTACTTTAATGAAACTAGTATGAATAGAAAATGAAACTAAAAATATAATAATATTGTTAAATAAAACTAATTAAAATGTAATTAGAATGAAACATAATAAACGGTTCACACTGGTATATGATCCACGGTAAAATTTGCCTGGTGTTAAACGAGTACCTGACTTGGTCTTGTCCTCTATTGGTATATTTCTTTCTTAGACTAGGTCGGGCTAGTTCGAAAAAATAAAAATAAAAAAAAGTCTGGTATGATTCATATCTCTAAATTTTAATTTAAAAAAAAAAATTAACTACAAATTTTATATCACTCATTTAAGTTATGTATGTTTTCTTCATAAACTAGCTTCAGGGTCGGTTTTAAGCATGTCTAACATGAGCGATCGCACAGGCCTCCCAATTTGTGGGGGTTCCATATTTAAAAAAAATAAAAATTATATGTATATATAGTATACAGAATTTCAGGCTACATGATAAGGTAAAATTGAGTCCGATTGGCAATTACATTGCTTTATAAAAATACAAAAAAAGTATATATATATATATATATATATATATATATATATATATATATATATATATAGAGGGTTGCATTCAAATACAAACCCCCTTAAAATACAAACTCCGCTTAAAATACAAACTTGAGCTCGTGCACACATTAACATACGTACATTCACACAGGGCGCACTGCCACCAATTTCTGGGATTTACATGTGCACACATTAACATACTTACATGCACATAGCGCGTAGGAGGAAAAATCGCAACCATCCATCAAAGCTCGTGCACACATTAACATACTTACATGCACACAGCGCGTAGGAGGAAAAAATCAGGACCGTCCAATACCACCATCCAACGGCGTCAAATTGTCCACAGGTGTAACACCCCGTGTTACGACCTTCAATCCCTGATTAATTATTTAATTAATCCCGTTAATAATTATTAAATATGATTTAATTTGGTAGGTTTCCCTTTAAATAATTAATAAGGCCCACCATGAATCGTGGACCCTTGCCTAAACTAGAGTTTTAAGCCCATTAGGAATAAAGAAAGTAAACCTTCTACTAGTCAAATTCTAATTAGGAATCCCAGACCTAGTTATCTATTAGGAATAAAGGAAGTAGGTCTTTCCCTATTCAGATTATAATTAGGATTCTCTTTAAATTAATTAATATGGTCCACTTTGGACCATGGACACTTATCCCTAAAACAAGTCCTTAAGTCCTATAAGGAATAAAATTAGTAAACCCATACCATTCAGACCCTAATTAGGACTCTTAAATATATAAATAGGGATATAGGAGGCACCTAGGTCTTACACCACAATAATCTCTCACCACACAAGAAGTTCCAAGAATTCCCTTAGGAGAAATCAAGAAAGAAGAAAGCTTAAAGAAAGACCCTTCATATCCAAGAATTAATTAAGGCTAAGAGGTAACTCATGTCTCAACAAAACCTATTTTCTTAGCTATGATCTCCATCTTAGGCCTCCCTCTATATTCTTGTGTCTTGATGAATCGTTTATAATATTGATAATGTGATCTTGATAATTGGTGATATGATTTTATGTGTGATCTTGGTAATCTTGATGATGATGAGGATTCTTGATGATTGTGTGATATTCTTGATGAATCTTGATGTTTCTTGATATTAAAAGATGAGTTATGTTCTTGATGATTTAAATATGATTAGAGCCCTAGGATGTATAGTGAAACTCATATGGTGTTATTTTTAATGTATTGCGTGGGAATTCACATGTTTGGGTGTTAATTATGTTTAGGAAGCATGATAGGATACGTTCCATATGTTTCTTGCTTTTGATCCGTTAATTGTCTACGTGGTGTCATCGATTGCGTTTAAAAGTGTCTAAGCATGGTTTCGGGTTCCACAATGGATCCCGGGGTGTTTATTGTGAAAGAGAGTCAGGGGGGGGGGTAGGGGACCCGCCACCTACCCGCGGCCAGAATTGACGTCGCCGGCAGCGAGCAGCCGGCGGGCAGGCGACTGCCCGCCGGGCACCCACTGCCCGGAGACTTGTTGCCGGCGGGCAGCCGGCGGGTGACCCTTCACCCACCGGCTACCCGCTGGAAATTTCCCCACCTCGGGATCCCGGCTTCCCCGTTTGATGTTCCCCCGACCCCCGGGTGTCCCAACGGACTCCGTTTATCGTGACTAAGTCTAGTTCGATGTTTCGGG